GCGGTGCCGCCACAGCTGCTGCTGCGGGGCCGAGGCGCATCGAGGTGCCACGGCCGCCCTCCATCGAGGAGTTCACCATCGTGAAGCCCATCAGCCGCGGCGCCTTCGGGAAGGTGTACCTGGGCCGCAAGGCGGGCAGGCTGTACGCCGTGAAGGTGAGGGCTGCGAGGGGCGGCCCTGCCCCTCCGGCCTGCGGAGCCCCCTCCGCTTGCCTTTATAGCCCCGTGTGGGAGAGGGGCGGCCCGAGGGGACCGGTCCGGCGGTCCAGTGCGTTGTCCCGACACGAGTCCTCCCGCACGGGGGCTTTTGGGGAGCTGCCGTCCTTCTGGCGGGGAGCTGTGTGTGGCCTGGGAGCCGCTTGGCTGTGTTTGGCTTTCTCCTCGTGTTCCTGTTCGCCTGGAGGCTTTGTTTAAGGAGGCATCTAGTAATGACAGCTGCTTTTACACGTGTCTTGTGTCGAGGAAACTACGGCGAAAGCCTTCCGAAGCATCAGTGTGCTCCTTGCTTATTGCGTGTAAATGCTTGTTATAACTGAGTATGTTCAGCTGTTGTGCACTGGGAGAGTGTTCTCACATCTGTTCGTGAATGACAAGTCTGCTTCTGAGACGAGCTAGTTATAAAAAAAGATTTTTGCTGAGTACACGTTTTCAAAAAGTCAAATTGTGTATTTTATGTTGATGCATAAAGGACTAAAAACTAGGCTTGTCATTAGCAAAGACTACTGGTGGTGTGCGAGACCTTGACTCTGCAGTTTAAAGGATAATCAGCTGCACAGTACACAAATAAAAATAAATATAAAAACAGAAATGCAAAACAGACGCTGCTTTTCAGAGCTATGTGTCTCTGTTTACATGGTTTTATTATAAGCGTTCTGAGATGTAAGCTTTTGTGTAAAGCCTTTGTTACTGCTGCAGTGGAAGTTTATGGAATGTTGACAGCTACAACACTTAGCACATGCAAAATATTTGTGCAGTTAAAGTCAACACTTACTAAAAGTGTAGTTCTGTGCATTCTGTGTGTATCTTGGTATTTTTTTAATTAACTTTGATAATAGTTATGGTAGCTGTGAAAGCTTATTTTCTGCAGCTTAGGTGCTGCATGCAGAGTGGTTCAATTCATAGAATCATAGAATCTTAGGGGCTGGAAGGGACCTCGAAAGATCATCTAGTCCAACCCCCCTGCCAGAGTAGGGTCACCTAGAGTACATCACACAGGAACTCATCCAGGAGGCTTATGAATGTCTCCAGTGAAGGAGACTCCACAACCTCCCTGGGCAGCCTTTTCCAGTGCTCTGTCACTCTTACAGTAAAAAAAAATTTTTCAGATATTCACATGGAACCTCCTATGCTCCAATTTACACCCATTACCCCTTGTCCTATCACTGGTCATCACTGAGAAAAGCCTAACTCCGTCCCCCTGACACTCACCCCTTACATATTTGTAAACATTGATGAGGTCACCCCTCAGTCTCCTTTTCTCCAAGCTAAAGAGACCCAGCTCCCTCAGCCTTTCCTCATAAGGGAGATGTTCCACTCCCTTCATCATCTTTGTAGCTCTGCGCTGGACTCTTTCGAGCAGTTCCCTGTCCTTCTTGAACTGAGGGGCCCAGAACTGGACACAATACTCCAGATGAGGCCTCACCAATGCAGAATAGAGGGGGAGGAGAACCTCTCTTGACCTACTAACCACACCCTTTCTAATGCACCCCAGGATGCCATTGGCCTTCTTGGCCACAAACTTGGCCACAGTAACTTCAGTTACTGAAGTGTTTTGCACAACTTTATTGAAAGTGTTATGTCCTAAAAGCTGCTGTGGAAATCCTTTAGCCCTGTTGTAGTGAGACTTGCAGATTACTCAAGGTACTGAATTTAATATATGCTTAATATTCTCACAGTTAAGGTCAACACTTACATAGAAGGTATCAAATTACATTTCATCTATCTTGGTATTTTTAACTGTTATCAAATTCTGTTAATGAGTGGTGATGGTAGGTAGCTATAGACTCAATTTTTTTACAGTTATGTAGCAGAGGGAATGGATAAATAAAACTTGCTTTAATATCTGAACCAAAGGTGATGAAGGTAGGTGAACTTCCAACGCATATGCAATAGTTGCTTAAATACCTATTAGTTGTGCTGTTATGCATCTTCTGTTCAAGATTAATATCTAGTGGGTATAGACATGTAGTGGAGTAATTCATTACAGGAATTAGAGCCTAATTCACAGTTAGGCTTGTTATTTCTTCATTGTGACTTGCATGGCTTTAAGGCTTCTTCCCAAGGAAACA